AATGCACAAATGAGTTAAAATAAATGAGATACTAGCCAGAATTGAAAATAAATTTGATACTTGAACGAATTGAAAATAAATGTGATACATACCACTTTTATTTTCAATATCTTTCAAGTATCAGATTTATTTTAAACGCGAGTTAGTATCTCATTTATTTTAATTCATCGTCTTGTATCAGTATTTTTTTAAATAATGTTTGGAGCTCATGATTATTCTTACCCATTCATATGTCTGACGTTAATTTTGCCATAAAAATTATTTTTGAAACACTTTTCATGACTAAAGTCACAAAAAATTTGGATTTTTGTATGGGAGCAGGGAGCCATGTCTGTATGCTACCTTAATGGTGTAAAACTTTGCACAGGTTATTTTTTTCACAGAAAATTTTGTATGGGAGGTACCCCTAATTTTGATTGAAATTTCTTCAAACTTTCAGAATGTTAGCTTTTTGTGAAAAAAATAACCTCTGCAAATTTTCACATGATTACAATATCATATAGGCATGGCTTCGATTCAAAAATTCCCATTTTTAGTAGTTTTTGCATGAAAGGTGCTTCGAAAATTATTTGTATCGTAATACCAATGTCAGATTCAGTTTTCTCGTGAATTCTTTGAGTAAAAGATTTGTAATAAATTTATGTTGTGGATCACAGTGCGGAAAGTTCATCTTACGGATGTAAGACATTTTATTTTCGGTGATGTCAAGTCATTTCTGTCAAGTCATGCTGAATCGGTTGAACTAATGCTTAAACTTAAAAGCCCATTATTATCTGATCGAAGATAAATGAAGTCATTAGGAAGTAATAATAAGACATAAGAAGGCATAGTAGTGTTGATGTAGATAAATCAAGTCAAAGTCCAAAAATGGGCGTAGTCGATTTCTCAAAAATGGTCTCATAAAATTAAAATTAATTATTATTCCATCAAAAAATTCCAACTGAAAAAAGTGAAATTCTATGTCTGTGAATGCATACAAAGAAGAATATTGTCAAAAGCGTCTTCTGATCTGAGTATGAAGTAAACAGCTGTTATATGCTGAATGTGTCGAATTTATTTTTCAGTGTACCAAAATGACTCACACACTCACTTATGACATTGTTTGTCCGAAGTGAGTTTGATGTGTATGTGTGGCCCGGTGTATGGAGTTAATGCGTACTATGTTGTGCTATGCAAACACATTGGTATTCTATAAATAAAATCGTCGTATCGCAGCTACATTCCATCTCAAGCGAACAATACAGACACGGTGAATTCAGTAAGTAAGACGCATTTTCGCTTTTCAAATTGCAATTTCGTCATTTTTCATTCGTTGTTGTTATTGTTTGAACATTAGAACATTCACGAAGAGTGCAAAAGAGATTCGGTTGTGGAAAAGATACATTATACGATTCACGGGGTAAAAGTGAAAAAAAAAAAACAATATCTTTATCTGGTGTTGATTCACTATCAAAACGGGGAAAAAAGAGACAGAATTATTAAGACAGAGGTGTAAATATAGAGCAAAATAAAAAAATACCGTCATTTTGTGTGCTTACGCCGATTTGACAGTATACAAGCATTTCATAAATATATATCGTATTCGTTGCTGGCATTCAATTCAGTCGTACTATGTTTTTAACGCGTAGCACTTGTTTTCTATTGCGCAATTCGAATCGTTTATGTGAACAGTTTGTGTCGGCGGCTATTTTAAATCAAACAACCAATCGATTTATTTCCATTTCCAAAGTGAGTGAACATCGATTTCTTCCATCCTTTTTTTCGATGAATTTCTTCACAATACTTATAGTCGTATTTTTCTCAATATAATTATGTGCATCACATTTGATAGTGCTGTATATTTTCTGTTAAATCGGTTCCGGTTGTGATTTTCCACACCCAATTTAAAAAAAATTGTTTCATACCATAGCGATCCGTACTTTTCCGTTGCATATTTTCACACATTTTGTTGGTGTTGTATTTTTTTCGCCGATGTTTATGGAACATTCTGATTAAATTATTGCTTTATCAAAATATTTTTCACTATATTTCATTCTCTCTCTTTCTCATGGTAGGTAAACATGAGTGCCGAAACACCAGAAAATCCACAAAGCGTCTATGACTTCAAGGTGAAAGATACGTTCGGCAATGATGTGTCGCTTGATAAATACAAAGGCAAAGTGTTGGTCGTTGTAAACATTGCATCCCAATGCGGACTCACCAACACCAATTACAAGGAGCTCACTGAATTGGCCGAAAAATACAAAGATAAAGGTAATTTTCATTTTTGTGGAATTTTACTTTCTGTAAACACACACAATTTCCTTCATTTAGTCACTAAAGTCCTTTAAAGCATATTTTTTCTACCGACCATACTTCCGTATATCTAATGGATTTGTCGTTTCCATTTTAGATGTAAAAATTTTGTCGTTCCCATGCAATCAGTTTGCAAACGAGATGCCCGAAAAAGATGGCGAAGAAATGGTGTGCCATTTAAAGAAGGCCAACGCAAATGTTGGTGATGTTTTCAAGAAAGTTGACGTGAATGGTGACAATGCCGCACCATTGTACAAATTTTTGAAGCAAAAACAAGGCGGTTTCTTGGGCGATGGCATCAAATGGAATTTCACCAAATTTTTGGTTGACAAAAATGGAAAGCCAGTTGAACGTTTTGCACCAACCACATCACCAAAAAGTATCGCCTCAAAGATTGACGAACTTTTGAAAAATTAAATCGCTTGATTCCTTTACTCGCTAGAATTTAAGATTTAGATTAGCTCATCAAATATTGGACTTATGTATTTGTATGCCAAAGGCACTTCAATAAAATTGATAACAAACATTTAATGAGAGACAAATGAATTTTTATGAGGATGGATTATTTATTGATTTAAGAATAAGGCACAACAGAGTGGTATAGATTTTTTGGCATCGTTTCGAATTGATGTATTTTAATATATGCGCATTTTGAAGAAAAATCTTTATTCTAAAGTTCTAAAGATAATCCGTTTATTTCTGGTAACCAACGGGTAAAATTGAAAAAATGCATTGAAAGCATATATGGCGGTGCCAGTACATTTCCACGGTAAAGTATTGTTAAGACTATAGTACGCTGACAATGAGTGATACTTATTACGACTATAAAACAACAACAACAACAACAACATAGGAGACTAGTAACAATAACAAAATTGAAGTATACAGACATGTACGTTACAGAGACGACATACAGCCGTCTTTGTGTGTTCTGTGTTCATATGATAAGTAAAATATTTTTCAAGAGCATTTTTTTTTTTTGCTTAATTCCAAATGATTTTGGTCTAATCGATGGAAATCCGTAAAAAATGTTTAAAAAATTGAAAATGCCATACAATGTTACCTTTATTTCATAAGCAATTTGTTTACATAAAAAGTCAGCTGACCACTGTTGGCCGTACTAGTATGACTAATTGTGTCACGGTAATTTTTTATAGTATAACAAAAAAAAAATGGTTGCAATGACAAATTGTTTACCTTTTATTGGTTTTCCAAAGAGATGTTTTCCAGTGCACTACATCTGACACACAGACTCAACTGAAAGTATCAATTTTCAAGGTCATTTGATAAAGAAAATTCACCCACCAAGATGTTTCTTTCTTTTAATAATAGTATATTTCCATTAAATTTGAAACTAAAACTCCTTTTTTCAACTAATTGCAAATGCTGCACAATAAATCATTCTCATACATTGTAGATGCAATTTTAAAATATTTTGGAATTTGATACAATGAACTGCGTAATGGTGTGAACGCAAAAGAACAAAAAAAAAACGGTTTGGACCGAAATCAGATCCGAAACACAAAAAAAGACAATTGATATAATACTGTGCACCCGGTCTGATAGTGATGTTTGGTGCTGAACAGAATGTATTTATGCATTTACATCTCCATGTTCTAGTGGCTTGTAATTAATAAAATCATCTGTTAAAGGGCCACCCCATTCACGTCTAATAATCAAAAGTGTATTTTGATGCAATCTCGGTCCAATTAATGGATTCATTTGAGCCATGAAACAGCACAACCAACTGTGGAAAAAAAGTGTCGCCAGTCATTAATCGACAATGGAAATATTTGTGTATATAGTCTCTACAAAAATTTATTAAAAAAAAAAATCGAGAATAAAATTGTCTTTTTTACTTACAACAGCCAACATGTTGCGGCCGTCAACATCAAAACGCATTGTACAATACTGAAAAAATAAATTCCATTAAATTATTATCAAATATAACTTTTTTCGTCCGCCGTGCACAAATGTTATCACTTACCCACGATTTGGGCCTTTTGGTGCAAGAATTGGTAGTGCAATTCCAACAAAACCCCAGAATGCTGTTATCAAAATGACTGGAATCGCTCCCATTTTCGATGGTTTCTATTGTTGGTTAAAAAAATATATGGAAATTTTACAATTTTTCAATGAAATTTAGCTGATGTTATGTTTTCACACTCACTATCGATTAGTCACAAGAGCTCAAATGAAGATATTGTGGAAAAAAGTACTCTTGTCAATCACATGATTTGACAGTAGGCGCGTGACATACATACACACTCATATACACAGCATTTACGCATCGTTCACATTGCTGAATGGACATATTTGAATGCGGTTCACACGGGACGAGGACGTGAAATGCAATAAATTTATTTTTGAACAAAAAATGCCATTTTTACATTTTTTTAAATATTTTTTGATATTTTTTCATGAAAAATGTTCAGAATTTTTTTAAACCTTCAATATCATAAGAGATTTCATTGAAAATGCACCGAAAATTCTACAGCAACGCAATAATTTGAAAGTTTTTGTCAAATCATCGACCTTTTGCCATTTGACACCTATTTTTTATCTTTTTTATCCGGAATTTTTATGAAAAAAATTAAAACATTGAATAATATTCATTTTTCTTTCGAAAAATCTCTCAAAAAAATAAAAAATAAATATGACTTCCAAGAGTAATTACACAAAACAACCGATACGGTTCATCTTCCAAATGTTTTAAGTTTCAATGTCAAAAGTCACTGGAGTCGATGGAACCAACTTCAGACGAAATGAAACGAGAAAAAAAAACCGAGAACGGTACATACATCTGTTCATACATTCACACACGTTTTCACGGCATTATTCTTCTCTATTCGGACGAAATAGGCTATTGCTGCTTGCTGCTGGCACTATTCGAGGTAATTCCAAATTTATACAATTTATCATTAAAAATTGTTGGAATATTTATCGAAATTGGTCGTGAAAATCGTTTGTATGTGATTTTCAATGGTTTTTTGTGTGAATTTTATTGGAATTTGTGCAAAGAAATGAAAATTCTTATGTCGGCACGAGTGGTTCATTATATAACACGTACTGTGTGCAAACGTCATGTACCCAATCGATGAACGTTCAAGACGTTCTAACCTTGACGGTCCTTTAAACTCAATTTAAATCCAATTTTAAACTAATTAAACGAATTTATTTGACTTTTCTCTGTATATAGACCACTAGGAACTTTCACACCGGAGAAACAGTAAATCACAAAGAAAAAAAATGTTCAACTCATTGTTTGATGCAGCCCGTAATTCACCGTTCAAGGGACCATTGACGGTGGCTCATTGTGATGGCGGTGCAGCTGCACCAGCTGGTCCAGATTCATGTGAATTTGGTTCCACAAAATACTTCCTCTTGTGCGGTCTTGGTGGTATCATCTCATGCGGTAAGTACCGTTTTCACTATTGATTACAAAATTTTATGACGAAATAACAGTGTTATGTAATTAAAAGTGAAGAATTTATTCCGAATTGAGCTCGACCAGTGGTAGAACAAAATTATGGATGTTTTTGCGCACACATAGTGTGTTAGGGTATTGTTTTCAAATAAACAGCCGATATTGATTGTTTTGTTTTTCGTTTCAAATATTGTCCAGGTTCAACTCACACCTTGTTGACCCCATTGGATTTGGTAAAGTGCCGTCTTCAAGTTGACCAAGCTAAATACAAGAATTTATTCACTGGTTTTAAATTGACCTACAAAGAAGATGGTGCTCGTGGTTTGGCCAAGGGTTGGGCACCCACTGCCTTCGGTTATTCAGCCCAAGGTTTGTTCAAATTCGGTTTGTACGAATGGTTCAAAGTCTACTACTCTGAATTGTTGGGCGAAGAAAAATCCTTCCTTTACCGTACCAGTTTGTATTTGGCCGCATCAGCCTCAGCTGAATTCTTCGCTGATATCGCATTGTCACCAATGGAAGCCGCTAAAGTTAAGGTAATTGGCGTGAAAGGGGGTCTTTTATTCGGTTTCACATAAACGTTTTTATACGTTATGCCATAATTAAGCACTACAATCACAAAAGATTTAGGTCATACTCAATGCCAAGGTTTTCTATGGATTTTTTATCGTTTTGAATTCTTTTGACTCATGAAAATAAACGTTTTTTCTTCCTCGAATAGATTCAAACCATGCCAGGCTTTGCTAATAATTTGCGTCAAGCTATTCCAAAAATGGTGAAAGAAGAAGGTGTTGGTGCCTTCTACAAAGGTCTTGTTCCATTATGGATGCGTCAAATTCCGTATACAATGATGAAATTCGCTGCATTCGAGCGTACGGTCGAAATATTGTACAAGTAAGTAACAAATTTTGGGTCACCAAAATTTTCCAATATTCCCAGTTGAAAGTACAAGCATTTTATACGGTGTTATGCCACACGATGAGATTTAGACCAAGATTTCACTCCATATTGTCAAGCTTAAATAAAAATAAATTAAAACCCCTCAATTTTCTCCAAAAAATACTCAATTGCCCTGTCATACCCCACAAATCAATAACTTTCTCTCTTTCTTTCGTTACAGAAACTTTGTTCCAAAACCACGTACCGAATGCACCAAAGGTGAACAATTGACAGTTACATTTGCTGCTGGTTATATTGCTGGTGTCTTCTGTGCCATTGTTTCCCATCCAGCCGATGTCGTCGTTTCAAAATTGAACCAAGCTAAAGGTTCATCTGCTTTCGAAGTCGCTAAGAAGCTTGGATTCTTCGGTTGTTGGAATGGTTTGATTCCGCGTATCATCATGATTGGTACATTGACCGGTTTGCAATGGTTCATCTATGATGGTGTCAAAGTCGGTCTCCAAATCCCTCGCCCACCACCACCAGAAATGCCAGCATCATTGGCCGCAAAATTGGCTGCACAATAAACACCATGATATTTAAAATATAGAAAACATTGTGTCCGCAAACGAAGAGCAATAGCATCATGCTCAATGTGTATGTGTGTGTCTACGTTTTATTCATTCAAATTAAAAAAAAAATAAATTAAAATCGTATTACTACAGAACAGAGCAGTAAAGATTGCATACAGTAAGATCAAAAACAAACACTTTGGCTATTTATTTCGATTAATACACAAAATTCAAATAAAATTGATATTGATTTTGGTACACACACTGTGTGGCCACATAATGTACACTCTATTTTCTATCGTTTTTTTGTGTTATATTCGCAACTTGTATCAGGAATGAAACATTCTTATTGTAAGCTTTGAACAATGTATATGAAATATATGAATTGAATGAAATTTCCAGTCGAACGTTATGATGGAATGTATTTCTTTTGACAAATTTGTGTTTAGTATGGAAATTCACTATTTATGTGACCTGGTATTTTATTCGACCAAAAATTTGCTAATTTTACTGAAGAAAATACTGAAAAAAATTTAAAATATTTTTGGCCAAATAAATTGTATTTTTTTTTGAATTTCGTATGTGTGAGCACCGTTAACACAATGGTATCACATATGAATATATGAAAGAAACAAATTCAATTGACTTGAAACTGTTTATGTTGTCTTCAAGTCGAGTGGATCCATAGACGATGAAATTCATCCATTTTCCAAGCGCCGATTTCGGTGTTTATTTTTTTTATGATCAGTCATTTTTGCTAGATTTGAATTTGTCGTGATAAATTGACGAAGATTGTTTGTAACCGAACCTTAGGTAAGATTATTTTCAACTTTAAGGGGAGAACTCAATGTCCAAAAGTTACTCATAAAATGGGAGACATCGTGGTTTGAAGCCAACACACTTCTATTCTCTTTAGTATGACCTTTGTCTGTGTGTACCAAAATACATACCTTCCTTGAACTAAAATGACAAGAATGTGTTTTGGTCTGGCCCGATCAACTGGAAACTTTTTTTGTCTCACACAATTAAAAGACAGCCGACAAAATCCCAAGTCTCTAGCTGAGTGAATAATTCATTTTAATCGAATAATTTAGTTTACCTCGAAATACATAATGTGTAGATGGAAGAAAGAGTACTTTTGACTGAATTTTCATACAGTTTTAATCTTTTTAAGCAATTGATATTCGAATCCCAGATCAAAATAGCAACTTACATTTGAAATTCGTTCACAAATGATGAACACTCATTGCCTAAAAACCGTGCAAAGCCAGAAATAAAAAAAAACATCGGGTCTCTCTCTATTAGTTGTCAGGTTTATTTGTAGTCAAAATACTATTTTTGTCATTTAACATTGAATAATTTGTTCAGATCGTTGCTTAAAGCTAATGCATTTTAATTTTCTTTTAAGTATTCGTGGTAATTGTCTTTGTTGACGTTGTAGAATTTATGAAATTCTTTCAAGTGTTTAATAAAATCTTCGACACTAAAACTAGTGTGATTAGGACAAAATTTACAAATATGTGATGTCTTTAACCCTTTGTCGTTTGCCGCCACCGCATCCTTGGTGTTTGGTCGCTTGGCTATAAATCGAAAAAAAAAGGAAAATTCATGAAAAAATTGTATTTGCAATAGGGCAGTCTACGCCATAAAGTGTCAATATTCAATCCTTACCATCGATACTGTTTCTTGTTCTTGCTGGTTTTGGTTTTGGTTTTTGTTCGAATGATAATTCTTGTTCTTCTGAAAATTGAATCGTGTGAATTAAAAGCGAAACTGTTATCAACGAGAAATGTGTCTTTAAATACTTACTGTAACTTTCGGTTTTTTTTCGAGATCGCGTTGACCTTTGTTCCGTGTTATTTGATGACGTCGATGGTATAGCGGTTTGTGATAACGTCGATGGCTTAACGGTTTGTGACGATGTCGATTTTCGATTACCACTTGAATTGCTACCTGCAATTTCAATTGAGATTGAATTAGTCAAATGGAATTTGACATGATATCGAATTATTGGATGTGTATTGAATTCTTACCATTTAGATTACTTGTCGATGCCTCGATATTGTCACCGTTTGTCGATTCAGTGCCGGAATCATCTGACTTTGGTGGAACTACCGCCTTCGAATTTCTGAAAAGATTGTAATCGGCGAATGCCCCGTTGCACCTGTGTGAATTGAATGAAATAAATCGAAAATCATAAGAAACGTTGCTCTATTTCATCCAAATAGGCATTTTTCAGTTTTTTTTTCGGTTACCCTAAATTAAAATAATTTTCAGCATGTTTTATGAATTCTTCGCTTTTTGCCACATCTGTCCCAACGGTGTCGATTAGCTTCTGTGTCGCTCTCTCAACTTTTTCCGTTAATTCTTCGCAATTTTTCATGATATCAGCGTTTTGTTGATCCATATCTATAAATGCGATTAGCTTTAAATCTAAGGGAGAGAAACCAATGCTAGTTTTTCTAGTTTATAGCTAATTTACTAGTTTTTAGGTAATTTACTAGTTTATTGCTTGAATAATCTAATAATTCTAATATTCTTTTATGAAATTGCTAGTTTTCTAGTTTTTTGTTCTGTCAAATGACAATCAAATGATTGTACTGACACAATATAATAGTGAAAATTAGTTTAATTATTCTTTTTTAACACAAAATCGTGCATAAAGTACTTGCTTTTTTCAATAGTCGACTTGTAAAATTGATTTAGTCAGCAAATCATGGCACAATATCAAAATGGTGGATCAAATAATTTTTGCTAATTTTTCTAGTTTTTGCAAGTTTTTTTCTAATTTTCCTAGTTTTTATTTGAAATATAAAAAACTATCTAATGTTCTCCGTCCCCTAGCTTTAAATTGCCAATCAATCGATTTGCATTAAATTTTTAGCAATAATTGCGATTTTCCTTGAACAAACAAAACGCGGGAAAAAAAATAACCTTACCGTGGATATTGATAGTCAGCAGTAAAACTGTTCGAATAAAAAAAACTTGTTGAACAAAAAAAAAACACAAAGAGAAGTAAATGATTTGTTAACAAGCACGATTTTTGACCGATTTTACTTGAAAAATGGCACGCAATAAAATTTGGTTGACTCTAGTAGTGTTTGCGGTTCGGTAGATAGCGGCGGAATGAATATGCAAAATTGATGTAAGGCAAAAAAAGAGCAACAGCGACTATAAATTTCGAGTGCATTCAATACCGGATACAGAGGATACAGAAATGTCTCCGTGAATCACGCAAAACTGCACGCACTTTCACGTATAGTTTGAATTTCTAATTTGTTATTATTTTTTTTTTTTTTCGTTCTTTTTTCAGTTTTTCTCAGTGATTTTCATTTTTCATTCAAATTATCGTTCTTTTTTTCCACCAACGATCTAATTAGAAAAAAAAAATCAGTAATTACGAAAAATGTCAAATTTATAGCAATCCAATACCATTTGACACTCGACAGTATGAATAGACAAATGTTTAAATGTAATGTTTTGGTCTCATCAACCAAAAGACGGTCGTTGTCGCTCGTGAAAAAATATGTAAAAAAAACGATGAAAAATTGTAACAAAAATTCTTATGCATTTATCGATGTACGTATAATTAATTAAATACACAAAGAATTTTGGAATATAAACAAATTAAATTGGCGGTGGGGTCAAATAGAACGCAAGAAACCGGTTGCATCGTAGAATTTCATGATATTATTGTGTTGTGTGTGAATGTAACATTTGTCTATTTGAGAACATAAACATCTGTGCTGACTGAATAACAAAACCGAGTCTGATACAACACGTCACACAAAAACGAACTTGAATGGTGTTACCAGATAGCGATTGTCTATTGTCACATTTGCACAAACAAATTGAAAAAAAAAACTACACATCCTACACAACACACAATGGGAACGTCAAACAGAATGTGTTAGTCGCTTGAAATATGATGATGTATTTAGTTCTGTGAGTGGTGTAAATATATACGCATAAAAATGAGTATTTAAAATGACGAAAGATAAGCCAAAGCTATCACAAATGTTTTTATTTCATCGAAATTGGTTTTTGACTATTTTTTTTTTGTACATCATTAATTAGAAGAAACATAGTCGTCGTGTGTCAAAACATTTTTTCTAACGTGAAAGTGAACAAAAAAATAATATGACGCAAATAGTGCGATCAATGAAACAAAACACAAAGCAACAATTATATCGAGTGAACGCTTTTTCTTAATGTGCGATTGCCAATAAATAAAAAAAACGAATTTTTTTTGGTGCAAACCAAACATAACGATGAACATAACAAAATGCATATTTCTTACAATTTTGATGTGCGCCTATTATCTGGCACAAATCAAATGCGATGTGACCGAGATACCAGAACAAGTGAGAATTTTAACACATTTCAATGCCAATTATACCATTTAGATCCATATTTAGAATGTGACCAATTTATTATGTACGTGCATTGATTTATTCGAAAATAGGATTGTACCGATCTTGCCAAAGACGTGCCGTTGCTGGTTTTCTCAACATTAGGGGGCGGATTAACTGCTGTCGATCCAATTACTAGCGAAATTCGATGGAATATTGAAGATGGTTTGTTTTTTATTGGACATTTTATTGATTTTTTATTTGATTCGTATTTTATTGAGAGTGTTTTGTGCCCCAAAATTTAAGGTTACATCTTTTGTGTCACGCATTTTTTTTATGACAAGAGACATGTGTTTTCGGTAGATCTTTTTCTTTGAACCATAAGTGATACTACTTTTTTCGCGCTGAATCACTACCGTCCATATCGCAGTCTATTTGATCCAAAAATACATATTTATTTACCGTACTTTGATTGATGAATTATTGAGAATTTCGGAAAATTTCATCCGATAAAAATGTCAATTTTTCCTCAAATAAAAAACTATTGAAAAACCAGAAAAAAGATGTTGCACAAAAATGTTCCAAATTTTGATATTTTCAATGAATAAATTTACAAATGAAGTAGAATTAAAAAACAGTTGTGTTTATTACTGTCTATTTAAACATTAAAGATCCGGCGATAAGAGTACCGACCCATTCCGAATCAACGGTATCACCGTATTTACCCGATCCACGTGATGGAAGTCTTTATCAGCTCGGTGATATGGGTAGCTTGAAAAAGCTACCATACACAATACCGCAATTAGTTGCAAGTGCACCATGCCGTTCGAGTGATGGCATTTTATATTCGGGTAAAAACTAGGAGCAATTCACTTAAAAATTGCCTTTCTATTATTTAATAATTGTTATTGATTCTTTGTCGATTATTTTAAATTAATTCTATTCATTTCTTTTGTGATTCTCCTCTTAGGTAAAAAGAAAGACACATGGTTTTTAATCGATCCAAAAACGGGCAAACGAGAAAAGGTGGTCGGATTTGGTGCGGATAGTAAAGATTCGATTGGGTGGGCTACGTCACGAGCCGTTTATTTGGGACGAACACAATATACCGTTTTAATGTATGACAGTCGTACCAAAGACAAAAATGCCAAACCCTGGAATGTCACATTTTTCGATTATTCATCGCACTCAATGGCACCAGAAGTTTCGAATGAATATGGTGAGCTCTTATTGTTTCTATTAGTTTATCGCAAGTTTTTCTTTTGGAATTTTCTAAATGTGTGTTGTCTTTATAGAGTTTCTCCATTTTTCGGGAAGCAGCAGTGGATTGACGGTGACATTGGATAGAGAATCCGGTACGTTTTTGTGGCAAAAAGACTTTTCCAGTCCGGTCGTGGCTGTTTTTCTTCTCGGGCCAGATGGTTTATTGAGCGTGCCGTTTTCAACTGTTTCGGATGGCGCCCTAAAGAGTATCATCGAATATGCCAGAGATGGACAACAAAATAGCATCAAGTTGTTGTGAGTTTGCGAGTTTTTAAGATAAAATATTGTGTCTTTGAATTAGATATCTCCGAGAGATTTCTTTATTTAAATTATTCATGGCAAGTATGTCAATTGAGCTACCGAATTGGGGTCTCTTTCTTTGAATTAGAAAAATAATTTTTTTCGACACAATTTTTAACATTTTTGGCATAATTCCAAATTTCTATGAGTTTGGTTTGCACATTTTTTTTCTCTTATCGTTAGCGAATCGCAAGTGCGTCGGTATTGAATGTCAACAACAACGAACATGTGTTCGGTCTTTTCTCTCTCTCTATTTTTCCACCGTTTATTTTACCTCTAAATTTTATCTGCTCGTTGGCATAATGTATTTAAACAGATGTGCATATTATTTCTGGATATTTATACCTTCTATGGCACGGTGTTAGCTTCCATCATGCAAATCAATACCGCGTGCAATTAGTTAGTCGGTGACATACGCATAAACGCGAACAATTTTCAAATAATCCTCTCCGAGGGAACTTCGACTATGTTATTGGCCAGGCGCAAATATTATATTTTATTTCACATACAAATCCAGTTGTTGTTAACATTTTTGCATTGGTATTTACGTTGTGTTGAATCATCATTGTTGAATAAATGTTGTTGTTTTTTCAATTGTAGCGAAAGTTTGTATGTCGGTGAGCACGTACACGGTCTGTACGCGTTGCCCACGTTAATCGATGAGAATACAAAAACAATATCAAGTGAACCGATGATGAAGCTTCTAGACGGTCCAACGGCAAATGACAATCCCAATTTGGTCTACCTAAACACATTGATGGAGACGACGAATGATAAAAATAAAAATGTCGTCGTACTGGGCCATTATCAGATGCCAAAAACAAAGGAAGAATTTAAATTGAGCATTGCACCCCCAAAAACGGCGAGCATAGACAATGCCAATGTTCATGAATTAATTGCAACGAATATGAAAAACGAAAATAAAGCATTTGAAGTGAATATTAATCGAAAAGGAAGTATTGGTAGCATCATTCCACCGCCAAAAGAATCAATTCAATCAAATCCAACTGTTCCCGGGCTTGAGTTGCAATCACCGAAAGAATTTATATCGAACGTTTATCGAAAATCACAAGGTAATTTAATATTTGTCTTTGATTGAAGAAAGATTTTTATTTATTTTATTTCCATTTTCGTCACTTTAGCCTGGCTAAACGACCAAGAGAGCAAAATCTTAAAATTACTCTTAATCATATTGTTTGGATTGGTGATTGCGATGTTTTGGTACATGAAATTTGTCATGCATGAAATACGATCACAGAGTCAAAGTGGATCGCAGACATCGGTGTCGGGGGGCAAGAAAAATGGTGTCTATGATGAACTCATCGATTTAGGTGATGGCGTTAGCCAAGTTGGGAAAATAACTTTCAATTCATTGGAGGTGCTGGGCAAAGGATGTGAAGGAACTTTTGTATTTAAGGGAAGATTTGAAGAAAGAAATGTTGCTGTTAAACGATTACTGCCCGAATGTTTTACACTGGCCGATCGAGAAGTGACCTTACTCAGAGAGTCTGATGCTCATGAAAATGTGGTGCGATATTTTTGCACCGAACGTGATCGACAATTTAGATATATTGCTGTTGAACTGTGCTCAGCAACTGTTCAAGACTTTACAGAGGGCAAAGTGTCGAGTGAAATCAAAAATAGCATAACCATGATTGATGTACTTCAGCAAGCAACAAACGGAGTATTGCATCTTCATAGCTTGAAAATTGGTGAGCTTGAAAATTAACGATGCAATATTGGAAAATTGAAGAAAAAATTAAAACACATCTTCTTTTTCTCCCACAGTTCACCGCGACATCAAACCACAGAATATCTTGCTATCATTTCCAGATGCCAATCGAAAAATTCGAGTGATGATTTCTGACTTTGGCTTATGCAAGAAGCTAAATTTAGGGAAAAATAGCTTTTCACGACGATCCGGCATCACTGGCACCGAAGGATGGATCGCACCAGAAATGCTTAAGGGACAACGCACGGTATGGAAATTCTGCCAATAAAATTCCCTAAATGCTCTGAGTTTCTCCTAATTAAAAAAAAAATAAAATGTCTTACATCCGTAAGATGAACTTTTCCGCACTGTGATCCACACAAGCGGGGTTGGCGTATATGAAATTGGGAACTTTTTTATGCGAACGCAGCTGATCAGCGCCACCTCACATTAGTTCGAATAAGATCGAAAAACTGAATTAATTCTGTAGCATTGAAATGAAAAAGAGAAAAAACAACTACAATAGCACGGCCACACAGAGCTGTACATCTATGCGTGCTGTTGCATACATACACATATACGCTTTCTTCATTCTTTCATTCCATTGTTATACGTATCTCACTGGTCAACAGATCTATGTAGCCATGTTACTGTTGTTTTTTTTTTTTTTCTCTTTTTCGATTCAATTCATTGTAACTAAATTGAGTTCAACTATGGAATACAAGATGGCACAGATGAGGGGAATTCGCATTTTGTCTTTTCATAGGCTAGCCGGTTGGATCCACAACATGTATTTATTAAAAATCCTTTGCTCAAAGAATTTACGAGAAAACTGAATCTGACATTAGTTTTACGCAATGTCGGAATATGATGGCGTTTTATTTTCAACCAAAAGTATGTTTTAGCGTAGATGGCGCTGATTTAAATGGACATTTGTATGTATAGACGGTGGCGCCGCTCTCCTCAATTAAACACTGACATGGTGAACTACAGCGTTTCCAATCGTTGGTTTTACGATAAAAATGGGAATATTTGTATCGCAGCCATGCCTATATGATATCGTAATCATGTGAAAATTTGCAGAGGTTATTTTTTTCACAAAAAGTTAACATTCTGAAAATTTGAAGAAATTTCAATACATATTAAGGGTACTTCCCATACAAAGTTTCGTTTTTGAGCGAAAAATTCAAAATTTTGTTAGGGAGATACCTCTAATATGCGTTGAAATGTCTTCAAACTCTCGGAATGGTATTTTTTTGTGATAAAAATAACCTGTGCAAAGTTTCAGCTCATTACGATATCATACAGGCATGGCTTTCATACAAAAATCCAAAATTTTTGACATTTTTGTATGAAAAGTGTGTCGAAAGTTATTTGTATCGCAAAAATAACGTCATATTCGGTTTTCTCGTACCCAAAAACCCCCCAATACACATTTTTGAGTGTTTAAGTATACATTAAATATCACTTTTGGAAGAAAAATTGAATTTTTCCCATGGATGGCCATGGGCATCACACCAGACATGACACGGCACTCTTTCAACCAAAGTCGCTCAAAATCTAATGGTTTCTATTCCTCGGCACCCCCAATCATCCTGTGAAGTCAGATTTTGAATTACTTTTCTTGTTTGAAAGTTATCGTGTTAACAAATTTTTGCGTACAGGGTACCACGCACATACATTCGGACATCGAAAAAACGCTAGATTCGTGTTCCCTGGCTCCTAAAACACCCAGAAAACATGTTTTTTGAGGGTGTTAATTTTTCGACCGATTCCAATACTTTACCTTACACACAAGGTGTGTGCGGAAAAGTAA